TATATAAAAATAATTTGAATTATATATATGTAAATTTCAGTGATAATATGTACTATTAATACTAAGAAATGATTGCTTAAAGATAAAGAAGCTGTAAAAAATTCAACCAAGAGATAATGAAGTGAATAAGTCTAATTGATAATAATAAGAAAACTTAATATGGAATAGGAAACTTAGTAAGAATTTACATTCTATTCAGATTATAAAGTTCACAATTAAATGTTTTAAAGAGTAATTTTTGAGTAGAGAAGCATTCTTTAGTTTGAAATTGTATATGAGGTCTATATAGTGATTGATATTTGATTTTTAAAATAATTTGATTCGAAGTTGATGATTCTATTTCATTAAATGTGTTGTCTTAGTTGAACAGATTCATGTTGTTTAATTATTAAAGTATAAAACATACGCTGACCCAATTTATATTGTTTTTTTCATCAAACAAAATTACTATCTAAAATTTAAACCAATGTATATGATAAAGTAGAAATCTAGTTTATTGTCTTAAATTGTGAGCTTTAAGTCAAATTTAAATAAAAATAGGAGATAGTTAATTTAAATTTTTAAGAAAAAAATAAACAATGAAAAAACAAATATAAAAAAATTGAAATGATTAATGATACTTTAGGTAATACTCATTTAAGTGATAAGTATTATTAATCTGAACAATCAGTTGATTTATATAAAGCATTTATTGCATTAAACTTGAAAATAGAGAGGAATATTAAGAAAAATTATTTCTTTAGATTAATCCTTCTTTGTATTACATAATATACTACTTATATTGCATTCTTATAAGAAATTTATAAATTATAATATTAAGATGGCAAGACATAATTATATAAATATTATTTTATCAAGTAATTTAACTATTCCATAAAAATTTTCATACTTGTCAAAGTAGGGTTTCATTCTAGAAAAATCATAAAAGAAGATTTCTTAATGATAATTTAGTATGTAAACCAGCAAAGGTTGAAAGTAAATGGAATTTTAAGAGTTTATATATCAATCTGATTAATTTTTTCCATAAAATTTAAATTATTATTCATAATGCTCTATTAAATGTTTTTCACACAATTTGCAATTTCTTATGGATAGATTTTGTATCAAGAAAACTTTATAGATGATAATTTTGTAGATACTGAAGGTATTTAATATTATATAATGTTAGGATGGTAAGTATATAATGCACCCAAAAGTATAGGTGAATGTAATGAAACAAAATTATTTGGAGGTTATGAAGTATTTGGAAATAACACCATGATTACAAAACTTATATCTCTACCTCCACACTATGCAATTATGATTACAGTAGAATTTTGGAAGTAATATATATTATAAATATATAGAATGGATTCTTGGGATGATGAATATTTTTATATATATGTAGACTAGTAGCTAATATTCTCAAAAATGTATGGATCGTCAGCTACAAATCCAAACTTGTGTGGATCAAGAACTGGGCAGGTATGGCGAGAAGAAATATCGTAAATCAGTGTAACATAAAATCACAACTTCAAATCACTTTTTATTCTTATGACATCGAATTTAAAAGGTAAGCAAGATGTAAGAATATAATTTATGAAAGGAATGGTGGGGAATTAGGCATTTCAAATTATATATCTATGAATGTCCACCTGGATGTTAAATTTGTACTTCAGAAGATTCAGCTATTCTTTGCCAGATTTGGGTTATTTAATATCAAAGCTTGTTAAATGTGGATATTGATTAATTCTAAATCGAAGGATGGATAATTTTGGAAG